ATGATAGGGAGGAGAGAAAAAGGTGAGGAGGAAAGAAAGCTTCAATACACAGCAAAGCATGTGAAGAACGTTAAGTGTCACAAATCATAGCCTAAAGCAAACTACTTTAGCATATGCTTCTATTTTCGAAGTTGAAAAAGCAGCAATCATGCTGCAAGGTCAATGCAGATCTTATTATTAGGCTTTTTAAGCTTGCCAATCAAACAGGAGAATGAAATTCCCTGACTTTTCCAGGTTTTCCAGGTGTGTTTTAAGAAAATTCCAGTCTATCCCTGTAGTGTGAATTGGTGGTGCTGAGAAGTAAATTAATTATGGACCCAGTTGAAAAAACACACAAATTGCCAATGACGTATATATACCATATTTGCTGGCGTATAAGACACACTTTTTCCCTATGAAAATAGGTCTGAGAAATGGAGTGCGTCTTGTACGCCAATACGTCATTTGTGAATGTGTCAAAGCTTCATGGGATGCTGTGAAAACAGAGACAGTGGTTAAATCGTTTAAGAAGTGTGGCATTAGTAATGCTCTGGATGGTACAGAATACAATTTGTTGTATGAGAACTCAGATGCTGATTTAAAAGAGGTTTCAAGTGACTCTTCATTTAGCTCTGGAGATAAGTGTCTGGGTTTTGACCAAGGAGATTGAAAGTGTTCTTAAAAGGTTCAATAGATTGGGTATTTTCAGAAAGTATTACTTTGCATTACTTTATATTTAAAATACTGCAAATTCATTATAATGATTACTCATAAAAGTTTTTTCTTCAAAAATGTGCGTAAAACAGAGGGTACATCTCATAAAAAATGTGCATAAAAAGAGGGTACATCTCATTCACCAGAAAATATGGCATATATTATATATACATACATGTAATCCTCAAAACAGTACTATTACCCCCCCCCCAAAAAAAAAAAACATCTGAAGGTTTCAGATTTTTAATTATGTTCCAAAGGGCTAGTTGGTTTATATATATATACATTTTATTTTTACCTTTATTTATTAAATATCATGTTCTTTGCACTTAACCATAAAATTCAGTTCAAGAGCAATGTTGCACAATAATTTTAAAATGAGCTTATCTTTCGAATTTCCGATACACAGTTTTCTGTACAATGTTGCCATTGCTTGCTTTTAAAATCATTGAGTTTGTTAATCAAAAATTCGTTAAAGTTTTACAAATATGAAATTGATAATAATACAAATGTGGGCCTCCAGATGCCCATATTCGGATTACGTCATTCAAAATTTGATGGCTCTAGGTTTCGTTGTTTTATCACATTGCGAGAAACATACATAAATTTATGCATAAATTTTTATATTAAATACATAAATTTAATTATTTATTTAATTTCTTTGAATATAATACAGGGTGATAATATTTGGTGGCAATAGTTTTAAAAATGAAACGGACATTCAGCGTGATTCGATACAAAATCAAAAAAAAGAAAACAACAGTCCCTTAGGGACAAAGCCCCTTTGAACTAATAACTATATTAGGAGTTGTTTTTTCCACTGAAGATTCAGATTTTAATCTGCTCAATCTGGATTAAAAAAAGTCTTTTTCTGCCAACATTTTGCACCTTAATGAAAGATAGAAATCTATTTAATGATATTTTAAAATAAATTCAGGTATTTATATTTATTTCGCAGCATACTTAGCAAAAAATATGTGCATTAAATTTTGTGGTAGAATGTCATCATACTGCTACAATTAGTTTCAGAATCATGCCAGAGAAAATTTCCTGAAATTTGAAAGTATTACAGTCAAAAGTCTTTAATCCGGACGTCCATAATCCAGAAAGATCTATAATCCGGACCTCATAGCTACAAACTTTCTGAGCATGCGTAACCACATTATGCATTTACGCATGCACGTTTAATGTACAACGGACGGTATAAGCTAAGCTAAAATTATCTAATTATCTATTTCAATTAATGTTGCAGATTGCGTTGTTCCATAATCTTCAAATTGGATCCAGCTTATTATTTTTTGCAGACTGTTAGAGAATTTTATAAAAGTAAGCTTGAACTTTCGATTATGTCAAAAAGAATTTCCGATGTTGGAGCTGCCAAAGGATCTACAAAGCGAAAGCATGTTTCGATGTCCATCAAACAAAAAGTGGAATTGCTGAAAAAAATGGATAAAGGCATATCCTTTGTTTGTCTAACCATTCCAAAATCTGTTTATCAATTTCACACTGCTCTGCGGGGGGACGTTGCGGCACGCAATGAACTGGAAGTTGATCTGTCAGCACTATCCTTATATTCAGGGCAGATGTTTTTATTTTATTCGGCTTATAATTCCTTACTAAATGTAGTATTTCATCTCGATGTACTTCGTCTTTGATATGATTTAAATCAAATTCCTCGTCATTTTAAATATCACGAATACACATCAAATAGTTTTCTGGTTGCAATTTTCTAATTTTGACTATACGTAATGTATGCTTTACGCATGCACGCGTTGAAAGAAATGTTTAATAAAGTAAACAAATAAATATTAAGCTTTTTTTTTTTTTTTTTTTTTTTTTTTTTTTGTAAATGTTGATACCCTTTAGATCATTATTGCTCTTTATTTTATAAATGATTTCATATTTTTAATTTTATAATTTTTGCATGCCATCTTACTAGATTTAAACTGATGATATATAATCCGGAAAAACCAATAATCCGGAATCGCCGAAGTCCCAACGAGTCTGGATTAAAGACTTCTGACTGTAATAACTAATAATAAATAAATTTAGAGGGAAGAAACCACATTAAATGGTATGAAGAACACCAAAATAAATTACTTAAAAAATGAATTAATCAACGATATTTTGACGTATATAGTTATCTAATGGTTAGCCAAGATGACTAATTACTGGTTTTTTATTTTAGTGCAAAATGACAAATATGGCATTCATTAAGGTTTAAAATATTTTGCCGTAAAATCCTAATATATGCTATGGCCTTGGCATGGTTTTGAAAATTGTTGCCAACACCACAATGACCTGTTTACTGCTCATAATAATGTCGCCAAATCCCATGAGCACCATATACTAACATTAAACCGATTTTATTTTATATGAGAGTAGGAAGGCATTTCCTTTAGTTCAACATGCACTGCACATACGAGTCTCTTGATTAGCGAGGTTACTGGAAATCAAAGTTCCAGGAAACTGGCTTTGCTTTTCTAAAACACAATTTGAATGAAGCTGCGAAAATTGGCTCTACACCAGCTGCCTGAATGATGCTCACATGATACATAATTCACCAAGAAAGTGATTGTGTACAATGTTGGCACAAAACTTCCCCGACTTTTCCAAATTTTGACTAAAATATTTAAATTCCCTGACTTTTTCTGGTTTTCCAGGTAGCGTGGCAACACTATGGCAAGAATATATGAATTGAATATGTACCTGGCCATGAAAAAATTATTTTCATGCACATGATTGTAAAACTAGAATGGTTTCCATAAAAATATGGCAAATTCATTAAAATTTTCAGATACGCATTTCTCCTACTGGTCCTTACCAGATTTATACTCTCTAATACCAGCACACAATTATCAAAATGTCCTCTCCCCATTTTGAAATGGTTTATTCACGTCTTTTGTCCATAGCCTTGAAAATTTTTTGAATTCACTGATAACATGAATGGAAGCTTAATCCGGACGTCCATAATCCAGAATGATCTATAATCCGGACCTCAAAGCTACAAACTTTCTGTGCATGCGTTACCACATTTTGCATTTACGCATGTGCATAATACCTTTACGCATGCACGTTTAATGTATAACGGACGGTATAAGCTAAGCTAAAATTATCTAATTATCTATTTCAGTTAATGTTGCAGATTGCGTTGTTCCTTAATCTTCAAATTGGATCTGGCTTATCATTTATGTTTTTGACTTTCTTGGTGCTCACACTTTTTTCATAGTGCAAAGATCAAAGGATCTGCCCTAGGTCATGCTTCGAAGCATAGTCATAATCAAAGTCAAAGTAACTTTTGTCTTCAATGCAGATAGATAATATTCTTGTTGATAATACTTGCTTTGAGAAGTTAGATGAGCAATCAATCAGGCAACCAGAAATTTTTATTCGAAGATAGCATTGTTTCTGGTTAGCAATGTTAATTTGTAATAGCTCCATTATAAGTTCATATTCCATATTCATTCAAAATGTTAAATCACACACAGAATGGCAATCATAAAAAATAGATACAATATCAAACAGCAAAATCGGGATTGCTTGCCAATTTTAGCCAAATTTAAAAGCTTTTAAGATTTCAAAATAAATAAATAAATTACATGCATAAAACAAAATTTTAAAACAGTAGTTAGTTTTAAGATGCTTTTCAAAATTCAAGCACTAAAAGCAGCATACAATTTTGACTAACTAGATCAAAACTTCAGTTTCTTAATTATTCATAAATAACTAAATTTTGAAATGCTTTTATATAATGACCCAATACTTTTACATGACAATCTTAAATGGTTGCAACCTCTGTTTTGACAACTCCTGCTTCCAGATAGAACAATATTTTCAACTAAAAATATAAAATGCTGGATAAAATATTTTTCAACAAAAACAAATGGGAACAGGGCTATTTACTTAATCTGAAATACCTTACTTCATTATATTTCTAAGAATGAAGTGGACAAATTAAAATTTAGTCATAATAGTGTATTTCGCTAGTTAAATAAATGCATCTAAGCAGATATTTATTTGCATCCATGCATAACAAGTTTACTGCAATTAAAAAACTTATTTGTGTTAAAGTAACACATAAGCATTCATATAAACAGTTTAAATTAGAAGCTATACAATAAAATGTCAAGTATGTTTACAAATTCACTGTTTGTAGAAAAACACTAATAAGTTCAATAAAGACTGATTTGACTAAAATTCGTAGAAGCATGGTTGACAAGTGTCAATCATAACCATTCCAAGAATATTTAAATCTCTAATTGAACATATGAAAGATTTCTAATTTTGCACAAGGAAATTCCACTTGCCTCAGATACTATGATATCCATCTGTCTGCGAAGCTTCCGCAGAGTGTTCATTAATTGATCTGGATCTCGGTGAATACCAACCCAACAACCATTCACAAATATCTTAGTCGCTCTAAAGGATAAGAAAAAAATATATGAAGCACCTGTGTCAAAAATCATCATCTATCATTAATTAATAAAACATCAAAAATCTCACTCGGCAATTGCAGATGGAGCAATCTCCTCAAGATTTTCCATACTCCATTCTTCCAAAAACTCTAAAATAGGAGATGGCTGTGAGCCTACCGAGATGTATGCCATTAAAGCAAGATTTTTTACGAGTCCTACAGCATGGCCCTATTAAATATTTAATGGGAAAATTTACCAGCTAAAACATCAACAAAGTATAAAAATACTAATTAGAATTTCTTTAAATACAGAAATAAAAATTGGACTTATATAGGAAAATAGTAAAGTATATAAGCTAAATTTAATTTTTGCATATCAGATATACTTTTATTCCTATTACACTGCACAAAAGAAAAAAGTATAGTTGCATTAGTACAGTTTCATAGCGGATAGAATGTACACAGAACCAATAGCTCGATAAAATTTACTTTTTCAAAAGAAACACTCCATAGTTCTAGAACTTTCCACAAAGGAACTCATATAGCTTTTCTCAATATCACAGAGCATAATCAGTAGTTACACTTCAAACTACTAAGAACATTAAACACAACTCAATGCAAAACATTTAAAAGTTTTCATGGAGATCTCTCAATACTCTAAACTCATGCTGAACTAAACAACAATGAACTGATGCTCTTTCCTGGCTTATATAGTTTTCATCTGATTACCGAAAAATCTCTAGTATCTTCCATTTCTCAAAATTACTGAAAGGCATATATGGTTCTAGTTACATATAAGGGCTGTGTATATAGTTACAGATACACATAGGGATGAATTAGAATTATGCAGGGACAAAAATATCGCCACATCTGGCAACAAAATTAGTCCTCAAGACCATCACCAGCTTGGTGGTATCTCACCAATTTACCAAGATAGCCATTTACTTGATTGTTAAATACACTTGCCCCAATAATCTTATTTTTCTGGTACAGCTTCAACTCTTCAGATTTTCATGCTGCATCATGCAAAAGATACAGTAGAAGTCCAGAAATATGCAACACTTGGGGCCTGAGGTTGTACGGATTTTTAGGATTTTGCAGATTTCAGGACAGAAAAGATAATATTCAGATTAAAAGTGCAAAACAAATAAGGCATATTAGATACATTTAATTATTATATACATTAATACAATAATTAATTATATGCATTAAATTACTATTACATATATAAACTGATTATATTATATTGTTCCTTTACATTAGGCTCTTGTATTTTTAAATCAGCATGAATCTGCTTCCCTTTTTCTCTCAGGGTAGTCCTGAAATAGGTACCCCATCACTCCACCGCTGCCGGAACAACCCGGACAGCATCGAGGTTTGCCGATTTCAACTCATGTAAAGATTTCCGGTGTTAAAATCAACTGTTGCTGTAATATTTCAACAGCTTTTCTTTACTGTTCCATATATCATACACAGTCCATGTGGTGATTCCATGCGATTCTGCTGTAAACCGAGCACCTGCCTCCATCTTTAGCAGAATTTCCACTTTTTTCATTACCGTCAATGCAACATGTTTATGTTTTCCAACATTGCAAGTAGTAAAATCACGAATGCGTTTCTTATCTGTCAGTGTATTAAAAAGCGCTGAAATTTAAAATATTCTTAATTTATCCACAAAATGTCCGGAGGAAAAAAATAAAAGACATCACTAAACAATCTCATGAAATAACAAAGCTCAGAAAGTGTAACGTGAAGCGTGAACTTGAAAGAACAGTTGAGTTAATTGTCTGCTTCTTTTCCTCAATGCAGATTGGAGGGAAAAATCTCTTATCATGATGTCAATAATTTGATATTTCCCTTATGAGTCATTATTATTTGGTAATTATGACGTCATTATCCAGTAAGTATTTTTTCTTTGGTATTTCGTACTCCATGTTGCGGTTTTTGGAACCTATAAATTATTACATTTTGAGAGGCAACGCGGTTTTCAGGAGTTGGCGGATTTTTGGTACTTGACTGTATTATAATTTTAAACATAACTTCACTAAAATTATTTACAAATATTATAGTATTAATATTTTAGAGGCTGCAAAAATATCTAATCTACACTTTTACTTTGAATACAAGTATCCAAAATATAATGTATTCTAAGAGTATCTTAAAGAATGTCCATTGAATTTCCCAGAAATATCACAAAGCACAAAACAATTTAATCTACAAAATGTTACAAATGCCAAACCTTCTCAACTGATGTCAAAATAAAAACTTGTTGAAATATCCTTTTTTATACTACATATTATACATCATTTCTTAACTACAAATTTTATTGCTGTTAATTTATCAAATATAAAAAGTTATAAACAAAATTCAAGTTCAAATTGCTGAAGAGTTGGGCATAATTTAATTACAAAGTAATTGATTAATAACTGCAATTACATTGTAGTTGCAAATATAAGTAATTCAATTACATTCTAATTGAAATCACTTATAATTGCAATGTAATTGTAACTGCACATACAATGCAATTGTAATTTGAAATCCTACAACTGAAACAAAATTGTAATTATTAATTAGGCAATTACAATTAATTCAATTCATTGATTCAATTTATGAATTAATGTAGTAGCATTTACAATATAATTGTATTATAAATTGTACAATTTAAAACATAACTGTAATTGCAGATAATTCAATTACAATGTAACAGCAATTGCATGATTTATAATTACACTTGCATCACAATTACAAATTACAATAAAATTATAGATGCAGTTATACTGTATATGTACATTAACTAGAATTGCAATGCAATTACACTTAAATTTGCTTGTGTTACTACTTGTGTTTTATTACACCTTAAAAGAAGCATATTATTTTTCGTTTTATGAAATATTGTTTTGGGGAAACAAAATTTGCAGACACATCATGCCTCCGAAACTGATGAACGAAATAAATGCAAATAATCCAGAAAAAGCTTTCTGGAAGTGATGTCAGTGCACAAAATATAAGATCTTAATTAAACTTTTATGTGCCCTCGTATATAGTTTTTTCTCAGAATACTGTGTCATTCGGCAAAGCAAAATACCTTTACCTTTTTCTTCAAAATTTAAGTTATCTTTTATTGACTGAACAAAGGTGGTCATTCTTTGTAGTTAATTTATATTCAAATATTAATGGAATATATAATTAATGGAACTATTGCAGTAATAACATAATGACATTTAGAATTACAATATAACAGTAAAAGCAACTGAAATTTTAGCTTAGTAGTAACTCAGTTTCCTTTACATTTCTTCTTAATAATATTATGATTGTTTATTTCTACCTCAAACTATAGGAAATAGTTCAGGCAGGTGCATCCCATGCAAAAAAAAATTATGTTAGAAAATAGTGGTTGTATTAATTAATGCCTATTTCACAGTCAATATCATTACTGCAAGTTGAGTTTCACTCAACTATACAGCATGGCCTCAGCTGGAAAAATAGTTCCATTTTTTCTGCTGTGAACTATCCTCTTCAGACACTTCTTTTTAAAAATATTATGCTTGTGTATTTCTACCTGAAGCTCTGGAAAATGGACTGTACACGTGAAGTCATTTCCAAGTAAAAAACGTTTTTTCATTATTTATTGAAAATACATGTTGTATTTAAAAATAAATTAATCTGCAACCAATACCATAACTGAAAATTTTAGTACACACAGCATTTAAGCAATATGATTTTGGATCACAGACATGTTTCTACCAGTTGAGGTAGAAAAATTGAATTCAAACAGGAAATGCAAAATAAATGCTTACACGATCTCAAGATTGACCCCTTAGATAAATTCATTGCAAAACTAAATAAGAACTTCTTTAGCGAAGCTCAAGACTGCAGCCATATGTGTCAGTTCAACCTCTTCGTGTACGAAATATTGCATGAAGATAGGTACTTAAGACCATTTACTGCATTCATGCTCAACGAAAACCAGAACTTTCCTCTTTAGGACCTTTTTTTTTTTTTTTTAATATTATTGCTTTACTGAAATGCTACAAACTCAACCAGCATCTGTCAGGGTCAGGACTCTGGAGGGTTACCTCCATGTGACTACAACATCTGATTTTCTCCTCTTATTGTGGGACTCTCACTGCTTTTACTTATATCATAACTTTTGTATTATATTTATTTCATCTTATAGTATACTGGAAAATATGTATTTTATGTTTCTGCACTTTACTATTTTGTAAACTGTACTGAATTTTGCATACTTACCTCAGTAGCCAATCAGAAGACTTCAATTGATTACTCTACCTTTGTAATTACTCATTACTTTACCTTAAGCCTGCTTCTGAAGGACTATATCATAGTCCTTCAGAAGTATGCCATAAAATTTCTTTTATATCCTATTAAAATAGACTTTCTTATTATCAGAAAAATGTAATTTTGATGATTTCAAGCACTACAGCTATCAGGAACAGTATGCACTTGCAAAATGCATACTGTTCCTGAAACTGGACCAGTGTCTCTGCAGACTCACATGACAAAGTAATCACGTCCTCCTTCACTCAGTAGCGTCTCATGTAGCATCAGGACAAGACAGCCAGTATACAGCTTGCTGTCTGCAAACTAAACATGGCAAGAGAAGAATGTAGAATTGGAACTAAATGAAGTTTTCATGTTTTATTTCCTATGTAGTATAAAAAGAAACAATTCCTTTAATAAATTCTTCAAAAAGGCATCCCTTTCCAGGGCATACAATCTTTGCCTTCCTTAATCAAATTCACATATTTGTCAGTAAACATCATAAATACACATGCGTATTCAGTTCTATATAAAACAACCAAAACTAGTTTCGGTAAATACATTTTTCTTTAACTGCTCTTCTTTCACACTGTCTTAATTTCTTTTACCATGTTACTGAAAATAAGCATGGTTCACTATGCAAAAAAAAGGGGGGGACAGTCCTATATCGCTGTTCTACTGGGCCGATTGACAAAATTCAAATTGCATTTTCATGTCTCGAAAGCGTGATTTAAGATGTATATTAGATTTATACATAGCACTATTCTAACATAGGTATTTTGACACAAAATCGGACTTTTTCTGAAATAACACATAATTTTTTTTACATATTTTGATTCTATGACTCAAATTATACCTAAATATGAAATTTTGTAAAATTTGGTGAGAAATTCGAAAATTTATAGTGGCACTTTTTTCAGTTTGCACCAAGAATAGTTCACTTGGCGA